ATATAGTGTGTTTTCTGACCACAATGAAATCAAACTTGAAATCAACAATAGAAAGGTAATAGTAAAACTCCAAATATTTAAAAACTAAGCAACACACTTCTAAATTTTGCATGGACTAAAGAATAAAAATTAAAAATACCAAAATTTACAGAACAGCTAGAGCAATGTTGAGAGGGAAATTTATAGCATTAAATGTTTACATGAGAAAAAAGTCTCAAATCTAATATCTCAGGTGGAAAACCCAAAACAAGTAAAATAAACCCAAAACAAGCAGAAGGAATGAAATCATAAAAAGAACATACAAAAGTAAAAATAAAAATGAAAAATAAATTTTAAAAAAACAAGAACTAAAATAAAGGAAATTGAAAACAAAATAATTACAATAAGAAGAAAAACACAAAACAATGAAACAAAGAGTTGGTTCTTTAAAGAGAGAAGACACAAACGACCAACATAAAACAGGGATCATTACTATAGACCCTGCAGATATCAGAAGAATAAGGAAGTACTACAAACAAGTCTATACATATAAATCTGACAACTTACAAGTAGTCCAATACCACAAAAAGCACAAACTACCAAAATGTACTTAATATGAAATAGATCATTTGAATACCCTTTTAACTATTAAAGAAATTGAATTCATAATTTTAAAAATTCCAAAAGAGAAATCTCCAGGCCCAGATGATTTCGTTGGCAAAATCCATCAAACATCTAAAGAATGAACAGCAATTCTACACAATCTCTTCTACAAAATAGAAGAGAAGGGAACACTTCAGTATTCATTTTATGAAGTTATTATTATCGATAATAAAACCAGATTAAAAACGGCAGTACAGAAAACCAAAACTAGAGACCAATATTCATGAATATAGATGCAAAATTTCCTCCCAAAAGATTGGCAAATATAATTAAGCAATATATAAAAAGAATTCTATACCGTGACCAAGTGAGGTTTATGCCACAGAGGCAAGGCTGGCTCAAAATTTGAAAATCAACCAATGTAACTCACCATTTTCTTTTTCCCAGTAAGAAAAAATCATGTGATCATATCAGTCTATCCAGAAAAAAACATTAAAAGTCAGTATATTCCTGAGAAAGGAACTCAGAAAAAAAGAAGTCAACATCCACTTATGATAAAAAATTCTCAAAAAAAAAAAGAAAGAAATAGAGCAGAAATTCTTCAACTTGATAAAGAATATCTAAAAACCTGGTCAACCTTATTCTTTTTGATGGAATACTAAATATATTCTCCCTAATATCAAAAATAAGGTAAGAAAGTCTGCTTTCATAGTGCTGGAAATTCTAGCCAGTGCAATAAGCAAAGAGGGAAAAAAAGGCATAAAGATTAGGAAAAAAAAAAAAAACCTCCCCTTATTTGCAGGTAACATTGCTCTCTATATATAGAAAATCCCAAGGAAGCTACAAAAACATTCCTATAAGTACAGTTCAACAAAGTCATAGGATATAGGATAAACATATAAAAATCAATTATATTTCCATATACTAGGGACACTGAAATTAAAAATATCACTTACAGCCAGGTGTGGTGGCTCAGGCCTGTAATCTCAGCACTTTGGGAGGCCAAGGCGGTCAGACCAAAATGTCAGGAGTTCAAGACCAGCCTGGCCAACATGGTAAAACACTGTCTCTACTAAAAACACAAAAATTAGCTGTGCGTGGTGGTGCATGCCTATAATCCCAGCTACCCAGGAGGCTGAGGCAGGAGAATCACTTGAACCCGGAGACAGAGGTTGCAGTGAGTGGAGACCACACCATTGTACTCCAGCCTGAGCAACAGAGCAAGACTCCATCTCAAAATATATATACATCACTTACAATGACTCAAAAAAGTGAAATAATTAGGTACAAATCTAACAAAACCCATACAGCATTTGTATGCTGAAGACTACACAATGCTGATGAAAGAAAACAAAGATGTGGCTGGGTGCGGTGCCTCATGCTTACAATGCCAGCACTTTGGGAGTCTGAAGCAGGAGGATTTTGAGTTGGAGAACAGCCTAGGCAACATGGCAAGATCCCATCTCTACAAAAAATAAAGTAAAAAAAATTAGCTTGGTGTAGTGGCATGCACCTGTGGTCCCAGCTACTTGAGAGGCTGAGGTGAGAAGACGGCTTGAGTCCAGGAGACTGAAGCTATGCCATGAGCCATGTTTATGCCACTGCACTCCAGCCTGGGTAACAGAATAAGTTTCTATCTCAAAAAAAAAAAAAAAAAAAAAAAGACCAGAAGGTGTTAATCCTTCTCAAACTGAAATAGGGGTTTATTAAAATTATTATCAAAATCTCAGCATGATCTTTTGTGGATATAGACAAAATTATTCTAACATTTCAAATGAAAAGCGAAAGAACTAGAGTGGCCAAAACAATTCTGGAAAAAATAAAGTAGGACAAGTCACTCTACCTGATTTTAAGACTTAATGTACAGCTACCGGGTGGAGGGATAGCTACACAGATAAGTGAAACAAAATAGGAAAAGAATGGAACTATGACCTAAACCTCACATCTTATACCGAAATTAACTAGAAAATGGATCACAACCTTATGTAAAATATAAAGCTATAAAAATTTTAGAAAAAAATAGGATAAAATCAGGATCTGTGGCTAGGCAAAATCAGCAAAAGCTCAGCTCATAAAAGGAAAAACTGATATACTGGACTTCATCAAAATAAAATACTCTGCTCCATAAAAGCCCATATGAAGAAGGTGAAAACACAAGCTACAGAGTGGCAAAAAATATCTGCAAACCACATACCTGACAATGGACTAGTATCTAGAATATACAGAGAACTCTCAAACCTCTACAGTAAAGAAGAACAAACAATCCAATCAGAAAATGGGGCAAAAGTCATCCATATTTCACTAAAGAGGATATAAGAGTGAGAAATAAGCATATGAGAAAATCCTTGACATTATTAACAACTGAGGAAATGACAATTAAAACAACGAGATATTACTACACACTTATCAGAACGGCTAAAACGAAAAATAGTCAAAATATCAAACGCTCTTGAAGATATAGAGAAACCGAACCACTCAACATTGCTAGTGGGAATATAAATGGTACAACTACCCTGGAAAACATTTTAGCAGTTTCTTTAAAAAAAAAAAACTAAACATGCAACTACTATATGACCTACAGCTGCATCCTTGGGCATTTACTCCTTAAAAAAAAAAAAACTGGCCGGGCGCGGTGGCTCAAGCCTGTAATCCCAGCACTTTGGGAGGCCGAGGCGGGTGGATCACGAGGTCAAGAGATCGAGACCATCCTGGTCAACATGGTGAAACCCTGTCTCTACTAAAAATACAAAAAAATTAGCTGGGCCTGGTGGGGCGTGCCTGTAATCCCAGCTACTCAGGAGGCTGAGGCAGGAGAATTGCCTGAACCCAGGAGGCGGAGGTTGCGGTGAGCTGAGATCGCGCCATTGCACTCCAGCCTGGGTAACATGAGTGGAACTCCGTCTCAAAAAATAATAATAATTAAAAAATTAATAAAAACTGACATATCCAAGACTGAGTAATCTATAAAGAAAAAATTAATTAATTAATTTTTAAAAAAATTAAAACTGTCAGCTGGGTGCAGTGGCTCGTGCCTGTAATCCTAGCCCGTTGGGAGGCAGAGGCAGGTGGATTGTCTGAGCTCAGGAGTTCAAGACCAGCCTGGGCAACACAGTGAAACCCCATCTCTACTAAAATACAAAAAAAAAAAAAAAAAACTAGCCAGGTGTGGCAACGTGTGCCTATAGTCCCAGCTACTTGGGAGGCTGAGGTAGGAAAATTGCAAGAACCTAGGAGGCGGAGATTGCAGTGAGCCGAGATCGCACCATTGCACTCCAACCTGGGCAACAGAGTGAGACTCCATCTCAAAAAAATAAATGTTAAAAAAAACTTTTTTAAATAAAAACTGTGCTCACACAAAAACCTATACCCAAATGTTTATAGCAGCTTTACTGACAATAGGCAAAAACTGGAAACAATCTAGACATCGTTCTGCCAGTGACTAAACAAACTAAGGAATAGTCCACACATTGGACTACTCCTCAACAGTAAAAAGAAGCAAGCTACGGGTACGTACAACGACCTAAGTGAAGCTCCACAGAACCACACTAAGTGAGAACAGCCAGTCCCAAAGAGCCACATACTGTGATGCCATTTTACACTTTTGAAATGATGAAATAAATAGAAATGAAAAACAGCGCTGGGCGTGGGTGACTCACACCTGTAATCCCAGCACCTTGGGAGGCCGAGGCGGGCGGATCATGAGGTCAGGAGATCGAGACCATCCTGTCCATGGTGAAACCCCATCTCTACTAAATACAAAAAATTAGCCGGGTACAGCGGCATGTGCCTGTAAGTCCCAGCATCTCAGGAGGCTGAGGCAGGGGAATCGATTGAATCCGGGAGACAGAGGTTGTAGTGAATCAAGATCGTGCCACTGCACTCCAGCCTGGCAAAAGAGCAAGACTTCGTCTCAAAAAAAGAAAAAGAAAAACAGCTTAAGGTGTGTCTGCAGTTAAGGAAGAGGTTGGTGGTAGAGAGGCAGGTGAGTGTGGCAGCATGAAGAGTTCCTTTGGTGATGGAAATATTCTTCCACCTGACTGGACTGATGTCAGTATTCTGGTTGTAATGTTGCATGACAGTTTCACAAGATGTTACTGTTAGGGTACACTGGTGAAGGGCATCATGCAGGACCTCTCCCTGCTATTTCTTACAATACTGTGTGAATCTACAATTACAAAGTTATAATTTTAATGGACAAACCCTCTCTTAAAGCTAAATAAAGCAATTGTGAGATTTATTACTTTTCTTCCTGTGATTTGAAAATGCAACATGAGAAGACCCTTGCACAGTTGAGTTTGACTGACTTGGTAGAGATGACTGGAGAGTAGGAGTAAGCACATACATCTTGGTCCCATATTTCATACATTCATTTACAACTTAAACCCAAACTACTTCCCTAAGAGGACAAGTGTTTCTACCTTGGCACCATATAAATCCGAGTTCTTCATCAGAAACTCTGCTGACGTCCGCACTGTGACTCCAGTCGTCTCACACTGCAGCACACAGTTTTCCAGCGTAGTCTTACCACGGTGAACAACTGTGACGAAAACACATGCTGACTGCTTTAAGAAGTAATGTGCCTTTTCCAGTATTAGAGATAGCCTGGTGCTGACATTAGATGTGGACTAAATATTTCTCAAAAGCTACCATTTAAATTTTCTTACCTAAATTACAAATTCATAAAATATAAAATGATGACGATTTTGAGTTATTTTCTACAATCGAAAAGCAACATTCTTTAAAAAGAATGACTTGACCTCAGACACAAAAGCACTTTTCATTACTAGAAAAAAAAAGTATCAGAGAGCAATTTTGCTGAGTATCTCAGAAGAAAAAGACCTTGAATCAAGAAAGGGGATACAAAGATTCCAGTAAACAAACACTACTGCCACGTGGAGATAACGTCAATCTAGTGCTACCATGAATACAGAGAACACAGACCACAACACTGGAAAGTTTTCAAAGAAAAAATCACTGCACAGAAAAGAAACTAACATTAACAAATTATCATGAATAGGTTTATTTTTCATTTCAGGGTTAAGTTTGCTAAGTCGTCACATTATGTACATAAAAAAATAATTTTTTAGGCCATGCATGGTGGCTCACACCTGTAATCCCAGCACTTTGGGAGGCTGAGACAGGCAGATCACCCAAGATCAGAAGTTCAAAACAAACCCTGCCAATGTGGTACAACCCTGTCTCTACTAAAAATACGAAAATTAGCCATGCATGATGGCAGGAGCCTGTGGTCCCAGCTAGTGGGGAGGCTGAGGCAGGAGTATCGCTTGAACCAGGGAGGCAGAGGTTGCAGTGAGCTGAGATGGCACCACTGTCCTCCAACCTGGGCAACAGACCAAGACTCTGTATCAAAAAATTAATAATTTGTGTTTACACTGATGAGTGTGTGCATTTATACTAATGAGTAGTATGTTTCTAATGTGTCTGTTAAGTGCACAAAAAGCATTATTTTTTTTAAATGTGCACATCTTAATTTAAAATACTTTATTTTGCTAAAACATGCTAACACTCCTCTAAGCCTTCAGCAAGACATCATCTTTTTGCTGGTGGAGGGTCTGGTCACAATGTTGATGGCTGCTGACTGATCAGAATGGTGTTTGCTGAAGGTTAAGGTGGCTGTGACAATTTTTAAAAGACAATGAAGTTTGCCGCATTGACTCTTCCTTTCATGAAAAGACTTCTTTGTAGCATGTGATCTTGTTTGATAGCACTTTACCCACAGTAGAAAGTTGTTCAAAATTGGAGTCAATCTCGTCAAAGTCTGTCTCTGCTTTATCAAGTTTACAAAATATTCTAAATCCTTTGTTGTCATTCCACCATGTTCACAGCATCCTCCCCAGGAGATTCCATCTCAAGAAACCACCTTCTTCGCTCATCCATAAGAAGCAACTCCTCATCTGTTCCAATTTTTGTAAGATCGTAGCAATTCAGTCATGTCTTAAGGCTCTACTTGCTATCATCAGGCTCTTGATATTTCCACAACATCTGCAGTTACTTCCTCCATTCAAGTCTTGAACCCCTCAATCATCCATGAGGGCCAGAATCAACTTCTCCAGAACTCCTGTTAATGTTGATATTTTGACCTCCTCCTATGAATCATAAATGTTCATAATGACATCTAGAATGATGAATCCCTCCCAGAAAGTTTTCAATTGACTTTGCCCAGACCCATCAGAGGAATCACTATCAATAGCTGCTATAGCCTTATGAAGTATGTTTCTTATGTAGTAAGGTTTGGAAGTCGAAATTACTCCTTGATCCATGGGCTGCAGAATAGATGTTATTAGCAGGCATGAAAACAACATTAATCTCCTGATACACCTCCATCACAGCTCTCAGATGGCCAGGTACATTGTCAATAAGCAATCATATTTTTAAAGGAATCTTTTTGTTTTCAGTAGCAAGTCTCAATATTGGGCCTAAAATATTCAATAAACCATGTTATAAACAGATGTGCTACCATTCAGGCTCTGTTGTTCCATTTCTAAGGCACAGGCAGAGTAGATCTGGCATAATTCTTAAGGGCTCTAGGATTTTCTGAATGGTAAATGAGCACTGGCTTCAACTTAAAGTCACCCGTTACATTTGCTCCTAACAAGAGAGTCAGTCTGTCCTTTGACGTTGCGAAGCCAAGCACTGACTTCTCTCTAGCTATGAAAAGTACTAGATGGCATCTTCTTCCAATAGAAGGTTATTTCATCTACACTGAAAATGTGTTGTTTGGTGTATCCACCTTCATCAATTACCTTAGCTAGATCTTCTGTAACTTACTGTAGCATTTTCATCAGCACTTGCTGCTTCACCTTGTGCTTTTATGTTATAGAGATGGCTTCTTTCCTTAAACCTCATGAACCAACCTCTACTAGCTTCAAACTCTTCCTCTACAGCTTCCTCACCTCTCTCAGCCTTCACAGAATTGAAGAAGTTAGGGTTCTGCTCTGGAGTAGGCTTTGATTTAAGGAATGTGGTAACTGATTTGATCTTCTATCCAGGCTATGGAAACTTTCTCCATATCAGCAATAAGCCTGTTTCACGTTCTTATCATTCAAATGTTCACTAGAGTAGTGTCTTTAATTTCCTCAATGAACTTTTCATTCACATTCTTAACTTGGCCAACTGACACAAGAGACTTAGGTTTCAGCCTATCTCAGTTTTCGACTTGCCTTCCTAAGTTACACATTTCTAGTTTTTTAATTTAATGTGAGAGACAGGTGACTCTTCCTTTCACGTGAACACATAGATGTCATTGCAGGTTTATTAGCTGGTCTAATTTCAATATTGCTGTGTCTCAAGGAATAGAGTGGTACAAACAGAAGGAGAGAGATAGGGGAATGGCTGATTGGCGGAACAGTCAGAACCTACAAAATTATCAGTTAAATTCACCATCTTATATGGATGTAGTTCATGGCACCCCAAAACAATTACAGTAGTAACATCAAAGATCACTGGGCACAGATCAGCGTATCATCTATAATTTTTTAAAAAGGCTTACAATACTGTGAGAGTTACCAAAATGCGACACAGAGACACAAGGTGAGCACATGCTCTCAGGAAAATGGTCCCAACAGACTGGCTGGAAATAGGGTTGCCACAACCTTCAATTTGTATAAAACTCAGTATCTGTGAAGTGCAACAAAGCAAGGTATGTCTGTACTCGAGTGGCATTTCATTAAATTCTATCTTCCATAGAGAGTACAGTTTTCCTTCAAAGCTTAGAAGAAACAATACATCAAACATTCAGATACTTACTTAAGATTCCCTCTACAGCATTGTGCTGAACAAATTTTATGCCTGAGATTTTAATATCAGCACCTGTGCAGTCCACAAAAGTGTCACCTTTGCCCCTCTTTTCTATCACAATGTCATCTGGTAGACCATATCCTAAGAAAGAGAACAAGAACACTCAAGATGGGTAAGGAAAAACATCTAAATAAGAACACTCTAGAACAGGTTTCTCTAGTTCAAATGACTGCAGATGATGAGACCAGTCAACCATGCTGTATTTAAATAAAATCTCTCTCTACATATTCTGTTTGATTTAAACCATGGTATCCAATTTTTAACAATCACCACTCTCTGACTAGTCCTCATATCAAGATGACTACCCTATCAACTATCTCACATCAGCTCAGCACTAAATTCACTTACAAAGCTGCTATAAAAAATAATGTTCAAGGCCGGGCGTGGTGGCTCAAGCCTGTAATCCCAGCACTTTGGGAGGCCGAGGCAGGTGGATCACGAGGTCAAGAAATCGAGACCATCCTGGTCAACATGGTGAAA